CAATGAATTCTGATGGCTTGCTTGGAACAGAAATGTATTTGGAAGACACTGTGCTGAAGAGGTATATTTGCAAAAAGCGAAAAAACCTCACAGCCCACTCCACAAATTAAAGCAACCTTAACAAACTACAGCTCCCAGAATTCTTTGGGGGAAGCCATGACTGTTTAAAGTGGTATAGTGCCCTTGAAGGACAGAGATGCCTCAGCTTTCTAAATCTTGGTTGCCAACCTCATCTCTGATGCCAAGCCAGGTCTAGAGGTGTGAGGCTGCATGTCTGCTGCCGCAACTGATTCCTGTATAAAATATACACCACGGTTGGGTTGAAACGGCACTCTTTACACTTACCTGGTTTGCACATGGTGTTAATGTGCCAAGGGTGGAGAACTTCAGACCCGGGGGGCCAAATGCACATGTGGTCTGTGGTCCTCTGAATTCACTGCTCTGAATCCATGGCTCTGCTTCGCCCCTTAGCCAGCCGGGATGTACCTTTCAACTCTTGACAATGCCTCCTCCCTCCTTGGTAGAGGGCAGATAGTTGTGTGTGTATCAGATATAACTTGCTGTAGAAAGGCAAAAGTTGCGCTCCTTGTTTGACCCACCTTTGCCTCTCTCACCCTGCCCAGCCCTGGCATGTGGCCCCTGGAAGGCGATCCAACAGGGAATTTGGCCCTTGGTCTGAAAAACAGTGGAAGCTTCCAAACTGACAGTTGCGCAAGAGCATGCAAACCTAAGGCCTGCCCACATCCCACTGAACTATGCTAGGCTATGACCTCTGTCATTCCTGGCCATTGGCCACGCCAGTAGGGGCTAATGGGACTTGGAGTAAAGGAATGGTTGAGGGAACTATGGATATAGTGTGAAAAAATAAAGACGTTCAGAGAGATGTTATTACAGCTGTAGGGCTTGTGCATGTTATGTAGTGTAGTTTCACCCTGGGCCAACAGGGGGATACTGTATATAGTTTTCACTCAGGTCCGCGGCAGTTATTTTAGGCGGGAACTCTGGGCTGTTGTGGTTACAATGTTGACAGCCGGCTGCCTATAAATACAGGCCAGCTGAGCTGTTCGCAGTCAGTTCTATTCCAGCTTACCATAATAAAGAGCTACTTGAAGAAATCGCTGTGCCGGCTGCTATGTCAACCCACGACTTAACACTGGCGACGAAGGTGGGATGGATGGACATCTGAGCACAGCCAGATGCGGCCAGCCTCTGAACTGAGCTGAATCACTGAGCTGAATCACAGAGCGAAATCACTGGGCAGAACCAATTCAGAGCTGACTGTTCTGGCTAGAGCACTGTGTTCCATCCATCGCCCTTCACGCCGGCATCGGAATCATGGCTTCACTTGTGCCTCTACTGCCGTTTGCGCCAGCCTCTGAATCATGGGACTCCTACCTCGCTCGGTTCGACTGCTACCTCCAAGCCAACGAGCTGACAGCAGTATCAAAGGATCGGAAGCGGGGCCTATTCCTCAGCCTCTGTGGGCCTGAGGTGTTTGAGACGGCCCGAGCGTTGGTTGCGCCTGAAGCAGTCCAGGCAACACCTGGGAGACGCCAAAGACACCCTGGTCGAGGGTGCATATCGATCTGGCTGGCCCCTTTCACGGCCGGACCTTTATGGTAGTGGTGGACGCCTATTCCAAATGGCTGGAGGTCACTCTGATGCCCTCCACCACTACCGAAGCTGTCATCCGGGTGCTGCGAGGCCTGTTTGCAACGCATGGGTGTCCTGATGTCCTTGTCTCTGACAACGGACCGCAGTTCACGTCAGGCACGTTTGAGCGGTATCTTTTGGGACTGGGCATCCGCCATGCCCTAACGGCACCCTTTCATCCATCCAGCAACGGGGCAAGCGGAAAGAATGGTGCGCTCGACAAAAGAGGCACTGGCGCGCCTGGACCGGGGAGACTGGCATGAGCGGGTCGCCGAATACTTGTTCGTGCAACACATCACCCCTCATGCGGCCACAGGGAGGAGTCCTGCTGAACTGCTTATGGGCCGCCGCCTCAGGTCACCGCTCGACCGGCTACACCCAGACTTTGCCGTGGCTGTGCCAACGCACCACGGTCATTTGTCCCAGGAAACCAGGTCTTTGCCCGGAACTATGTGGGGGACATCCCTTGGGTGCCAGCCACAGTAGTGGGAGTCACTGGACCTCGCTCGTACCAGGTGGCACTCGAAGACGGACGCTTGTGGCGACGGCACATAGACCAGCTTAGGCGCAGGGTTGGGGACTTGGACACTACCGAGGTGCCCCCAACTGCGCTTGCGGCTCCAGAAGAGACACGTACAGATGGCAAGGCCCCACCTACACCTCCCTCGCAAACTGCCAGCGTGCAGCCGAACCAAGCCGTTTCAGAACAGACTCAGACCACTCCACTTGCGGAGGCTCCACCCACAGCAGCGGATCCAGGGGAGTTGGTTCCAACACCACCTAGGGTCGCACCACAGCCTCAGCGAGAACTGTGTGGCCCTCCGGACTTGGCTACCAGTCCCCGGCGGTCTGGCAGAGTTTCCAAGCGCCCAACTTATTTAAAGGACTATGTTGTTGGACAGGTATCACTGTTGGTCTAAGTATGGGAAATGTAACCGATATGCTTTTGTGCTTAATTGAACCATTACGCGTAGTGCTGTATATAAGGAAACCATTACGATTGTAACTAACGCCTTATCTCGGTGGGGAGGGGTGTTATGTAGTGTAGTTTCACCCTGGGCCAACAGGGGGATACTGTATATAGTTTTCACTCAGGTCTGTAGATAGTTTTCACTCAGGTCCGCGGCAGTTATTTTAGGCGGGAACTCTGGGCTGTTGTGGTTACAATGTTGACAGCCGGCTGCCTATAAATACAGGCCGGCTGAGCTGTTCGCAGTCAGTTCTATTCCAGCTTACCATAATAAAGAGCTACTTGAAGAAATCGCTGTGCCGGCTGCTATGTCAACCCACGACTTAACAGTGCACATTTCCCTTCCCTTTGATGGGATCTCAGCAATCGAGATGCTGCTTAGATTTGTTTATCACCATCACCCCCCTCCCATTTGCTAGTGGATTCATTGCTACAGAGTTCTTGTGTATATAGTGGCATACAGGTACTACTGGCAGTGTTGATTGTCTCCCCCCCCCCCAATTTATTGCTTTATTTGGTAGGACTGAAAGGAAAGCAAAGAACTTCCCCTCTCTCCTTACAAATTAAAACTGCCTTCCACTTTTCCTCAGTATTTCCTGTGAAGAATATTGCTTTCACATCCGTATCGTACATTTGGCAGGCATCTAAAGTACATGGTCGTCGTCCGTCCCCCCCCCCCGAGTGGTCGAATGGGAGGTATTCTTTGACAGCGTGTCTGTCTTGCTGCTGCTGCTGCTGCTGCATGTCACTGTTCCCTGTTTCTGTGTGTCTGTGAGGAGAATACAGGACACTGCAAAAGACACAGGGTGTTATGAAGGTGCAATAAGCCAGTCAGAGTGTGGTCCCTCCCTATAATGTAAACAGAGACACTTCTTTTCAGGAGATTTCTGTATAAATAACACTTTGCTGAGGTGTAAGTGGGGACTAAGTGAGGTTGGAGTGGAACCATGTTTGCATGAACATGAGAATGTAAAATATGCTCTCCATTTATATATTTATTAAAATACTGTATTCATTTACCCAGAAGAGTCATTGGGCTTTTTTGCTGTAAGCTGCTTCCTACATTGTAAGAAGTGGGTCATGAGACCCTTGATCCCTCCTTGAAATACAATCTGAATCAAATGGGTGAGGCAGTAAAGAGTTTATTGATTACAATACGTTCTTGCAAGAGGGCGGGGTCCACAGTAGCTGATGTTCCCCATACTGGAAGCCCAGCTTCCCTCCCTCGTCTCCCCATTGGCTGGTCCTGCAAGGTTTTCCTTCCCCCAGTTATCAAAGGAAAGGAAAGAGGGGGGGGGAGAAACTTCTCCTTCCTCGCCAGAGTCACCTGACTTCCGGCTTCACCAGCGGAGATAAAAGGAGGGAGGGAGCTGCTTCCTTCTAATTAAGCCTCCTCATTAAGCGGGGTCACTCACTGCCTCCCTGGCGAGGCTCCCATTCCCGCCCCCGTTGTCCAGGGTCGCTGCATCTGCCGCCGCCCTCAGATTTCGGGTGAGTGCAAAGCCAGCGGCGGGAAGGAGGGAAGGGGCTTGGCAAGGGATGGGGGTCCAGGATGAGAAGCCCCGGGACGGGGAGAAAAGAAGAAGGGAGGAAAGGGAGCTGTTTTTCTTAATGGGGCCTTGAAGGTGGGGGAGGGCGGGTTCCCGTTGTGGAAAGAGAGAAGCTTCTTCCTGCCCGGATCTGGTGCAAAGGGATTTGCCTGGAAGGAGGCGGGGAAGGGAAGAGGCTTGGGCATTGATGGGCAGGTTAATAATAATAATCATAATACCTGCCCCTCTGGCTGGGTTTCCAGTGTGGCTTACAACTTAGATAAACCATAATAAAAGATCAAACGTTAAAACCTTCCCAGTACAGGGCTGCCTCCAGATGTCTTCTAAAAGTCAGATAGTTGTTTATTTGAAATTGGAAGGGAGGGCTTTCCACAGGGAAGGCGCCACCACCGAGAAGGGCCTCTGCCTGGTTCCCTGTAACCTCGCTTCTTGCAGGGAGGGAACTGGCAGAAGACCCTCGGAAGTGAACCTCAGTGTCCTTCCTTCCTTCTCTTTAGACACCAGGCAAAAGCATTCCTCTTCTCCCAGGCATTGGGCTCATTAAACAATCTATGGCCTGTCCAGTTAACATGGGTTTAGCCCAGTCTGATTTTGTAGTGACTGCGTCTCCTTATACCTCTTCCAAAATTTAGAAATGCCCCCTTTGGTTAAGTTCCTGCCAATTTTTCTTCTAATATCTTCATAACTGTAGCCTTGTTCACTTAATAGTACTATTTTACATCCCTTTCTAGGTGACCAGTCATCTCTTTGTGCCATTTATTTAATTACGTTTTACAAGCTCACTAAATGAAAAAAACCTCAACCAACTTGATAGCAATCGCAAAACACATTTTTTAAAAAAATATTTTTATTGAATTTTCAAATTATAACAACAAATTTCCACAAATCTTAATTGAACAATTTCTATATCTGTATGTCTCCCCTCCCTCCTCTTTGGCTTCCCCCATATTTCCGTATTGATTTATTAAACAAATTCTATACTCTGCTGATTTTGCTTCTTATATAGTTGTCAAAACCTGGCAAAGAGTCCATATCTTTATACTGTCTTTTTCTATAGTTTATAAATGGTTCCCACTCTTTTTTGAAATCGATGTTGTCTCTCTCATGTATTCTCTCTGTCAGCTTAGCCAGTTCCGCGTAGTCCATAAGCTTGGCTTGCACTGCTTCCTTTGTTGGCGTTTTCTGTTTTCCATACTTGTGCTAATAAAATTCTTGTTGCTGTTGTCGCATACATAAACTATGTCCAATTTCCCTCTCATGTATCATGATCTAAAATTAGAAGCAGGAAAGAGTCTGGTTTTTAAACAAAGGGTTTTTTCAACATTTTTTTCAGTTCATTATATATCATTTCCCAGTATTCTTTAACCTTCTTGCATTCCCACCATACATGAAAAAAGTACATATCTTGGATCCTGTTTTATACATTTTTGCAGTTTTTCCAGTGTGATATACCATCTATATATCATTTTCAAATACAGTGGTACCTCAGGTTATAGATGCTTCAGGTTACAGACTCTGCTAGCCCAGAAATAGTACCTTAGGTTAAGAACTTTGCTTCAGGATGAGAACAGAAATCGTGCTCCGGCGGCGCAGCAGCAGCAGGAGGCTCCATTAGCTGAAGTGGTGCGTCAGGTTAAGAACAGTTTCAGGTTAAGAATGGACCGCTGGAATGAATTACTGTATTTTTCACTGTATAACACGCACCTGACCATAACACGCACATCGTTTTTAGAGGAGGAAAACAAGGGAAAAAACATTCTGAATGAAACAGTGGATGTATCATTTTTGTGCTTCATGATGTGGCCACAGACATGTGATCTGATGGTGAATTTGGGGTGACCCAATGCAAAAATCCTGAGAATCCCTGTGGATCCATGCTTTGTAACCACGTTTTTGCACCACTGCAGCCCCAGGCAACAGTGGGTGTGTGATTTTGGGGGGGCAGGCTGTAGCCATGGAAATGCTATGTGATCTGATGGTGAATTTGGGGTGACCCAATGCAAAGATTCTGAGGATCTATGTAGTTCCATGCTTTGTAACCACATTTTTGCACCATTGCAGCCCCAGGCAACAGTGGGTGCGTGATTTTTGGGGGCAGGCTGTAGCCATGGACATGCTATGGGATCTGATGGTGAATTTGGGGTGACCCAATGCAAAGATCCTGAGGATCCATGTGGATCCATGCTTTTTAACCACATTTTAAGTGGGGAGGGAAGGAAAAACACAGAAGGGACAAGGAGCAGGAGAGGGGTGTGCAGGGAAGCAGCTGGCTAAGAATGCAGGAGAGGGGTATAACGGGAGGGAGGAAAGGGAGGCAAAAGTTTTCCCTCACCTACCCACCCAAGCCACCCAGCTTGCACGCGCGCTCTCTCTCTCTCTCTCCCTCCTGCATGTTTTCAGCAGCACCGGAGCACAGAGAGGACACTCTGCTTTCCCCTCTGCTTGCCTGGAGGGGAGGGGCTTTCCCTGCTCTTTGTTCCGTTTGAGCAAAAACAGCAAGGAAACAGAGGGGGGTGGGCAGTAAGACCCTGAGGCAGAATGCAGGAAAGCAGCCGCTTCCTCTTTTCAGGTTTCCCTTCTCCAAGACGCGCAATTTGATTTTTGCCTGATTTTTTTTGCCTCCCCTCGCGCCATTTGGCTCCAGGGACCACACATTCGCTCAATAACACACACAGACATTTCCCCTTCCTTTTTAGGAGAAAGAATTTGCGTGTTATAGAGGGAAAAATACGGTAAGTACTTAACCCAAGGTACCACTGTAATTTTCTCTTAATGATATACAATCTGTAAACTTTACATTTGTTTTCATAAACTTTCCCATTCCTCCAACTGTATATTAAGCCCAACGTCCGGAGCCCATTTTATTTGGGCTGATTTTACCTTCTCATCTAAAGTCTCTCCATATAGCAAAATGTTATATGCTCTCTTCAATAATTTGGTATTTCCCTCCACAACTTCCTTTTGAAAGTTTGAGATAGTATAGCTGAACCCCCTTTATTATCTTCTTTAAATTGCTCATTAATTTGTCTGTGATGCAACCAACTTTGTAAAGTACCTTTCAAGTTTTCATAACTTTTAAATTTCAAACCTTTCTCCTCTTCTATTAACAAATCTCTATATGTTGGCCACTTTCCTTTTTTATCACCCCTCCAGCTACACAGGGTCTAATCCTGCCAGACTGGTGGATGTCTCAAAAAATTCCAAGTTGTTGGATATTCAAATCGCAGAGCTTGTCAAAACTGAGAGGCAACTATTTACAAATCCTGTTCTTTCAGCAAAGCAGGAATTTTAGGGTTAAAAATACATTTGCTTTCACTCAGAGGCTGAAATGTAGATTTTTGGGGGCTTTCATCTCATTCATCTCATTCCATCTTATTCACAAAACGTCTCTGCAGGGTTCTCCCCTGAATAGCAGAAGTACGGCTTCCATTTTTAATACTTCTCACTTTGAAGTTCAAATTGAATTTAAGTCCAAATTTTTAAATTCTTCTCCAAAAGCTTCTTTTTCTTTTACCTTATAACAGAAGATCTGTCACTTCAGAGGGCGGCTTTTAGGCTTCGGTTATTCAGGTGTGCGTTGGAGCCGACAGCCCGCCTCGACCGTCTTCCCCTCCCTGATGCAACTGCGGGAGCCGGTTTGACGGGAGACCTGGGGCTCAGCTGGACCCCGTGGCAGCCCCACTCTTCTGCAGAGTTTTGTGCGGGGGGCTTTTTTTAGCCCCTAAACCTCTCCTCGGTGGCCTGAAATCCTCCTAAGGGCTCTGTCTAACTCCAGCCCGGAAGCTCGCAATCACAAAGTCAACTCACATAACACACTGACAAATGTCCTGCTTATTTATGTTGCAATCCTTCCTAAAAGTTGTTGTATTACATTCTACTTTAAATTACAGTGGTACTTTAAATTACAGTGGTCTGTTCTCAACCTGAAACTGTTCTTAACCTGAAGCACCACTTTAGCTAATGGGGCCTCCTGCTGCCGCCGTGCCACCAGAGCACAATTTCTGTTCTCATTCTGAAGCAAAGTTTATAACCCGAGGTACTATTTCTGGGTTAGCGGAGTCTGTAACCTGAAGCATCTGTAACCTGAAGTGTCTGTAACCTGAAGTACCACTGTATCTTTCCGTTGATATATAATTTTATGGTATTACTCCCAAAAAGGGGGGTATTATGAGCCATCAAACCCCAGAAAAACACCTTCTCCAAGGTTTCCACAATTTTGACCACTAGTGTATGTTGTCTTCTAGGTCCAAAGACACACATGCACACACAGATAGCATGAGCAAGCAGGGCTCCAAAGTGCTTCTCTTGAGAACTTGCCATCTAAGTTGTTTGCTCACGGCAAAAGCTCCTATTTCCCAAAAGGACAGGAGGGGGAGGTCTCTCCCCCACTTTTAACCCACCCACTCCCACCGCACGGAAGGGATAGGTCTTGTTCATTCACAATCCCTGGATCCACCGCCTCTCCCAGGGGATCCAGATGCAAGCAAGGTGCTTTCTTCTTCTCCATTCAAGGGCAACCCATGTATTCAAAGCAGTCCTTTGCAGATTAAGACTTAAGTTCAAAATAAGTACAAAAACCCGACAAAAAGACTCATGGGTTTATAGTGGCACCAGCTTTCCTAGTCAAGATTCCACAATGTCAGACTGTAGCTCACAAAAGCTTAAGCCATAATACATTTATGAGCCTTTATGGGCTGCAGAAGATGAATAAACAGAAGCATAGTTAATCTATGGTCTTCCATCCCACAAGAGACAGTGACTGCCAGCAACTTGGATATCTTGAAAAAAGGGATTAGGCTGGTGTCTGTGCTCTGCCCTCGTAGTCCTAGGCAATAATGCTCCTTAATACTAGTTTCTGGAAAGCACAGGAGGGCAGAGGGCTCTTGGGCTGAAATCTTGCTTGCTGGTTTCCCCCAGGCATCTGCTTGGCCACTGTGAAAACAGGATGCTTGACTAGGTGGGTCTTTGCCTGATGCAGCAGGCTGTTATTAGGTTGTAATACGTTGTAATAATTTTACACTTACATGTGGCATAGGAACACCTCAGTTATACTTCTTCCTCATAGGAGAGACTGCTATTGGAGCATGAGATCATTTCTTCACTTGAAAAAGAAAAAGACAGAGATGTGTCTTATAAGCCAGTTCCACCGTAGATATCTACTATAAAATGATGGTGCTTTCTTAAGTGTGAATGGCGTGATCATGGGTTTCTCTTGCCATTATCTCATCTGCATTCCTAAAAATTTGGAACATGGAGACAGTGGACAATGGAGAGGGTGTTAAAATAAGAGAAGGTGCACATGGGAATTGACATGTGCTTAGTTCATTTATTGTCTTTCCTAAAAGTCTAACAGGATTCTCTCCCTGCCCCAAACAGGTGAGGAAGATGATGGTCAGGATTCTACGGAAAGGTCTGTGAAATCAGTGGGAAGAGCAGAGAAGCCATTTAAATGCAGGGAATGTGGAATGTGCTTTAGTCACTGTGGAAAAATGAGGAAACACCAACGAACTAACACGGGGGGGAAACCGTTTGAATGCATGGAGTGCGGAAAGAGCTTCACTCAAAGTGGTAAACTTAGAAGACATCAACGAACTCACACGGGGGAGAAACCATTTAAATGTATTGAATGTGGAAAGAGCTTTGGTCAAAACGGAGACCTTAGAATACATGAACGAACTCACACAGGGGAGAAACCATTTAAATGCATTGAATGTGGAAAGAGCTTCAGTCAAAGTGGAAACCTTAGAATACATCAACAAACTCACACAGGGGAGAAACCATTTAAATGTATTGAATGTGAAAAGAGTTTCAGTCGTAGTGGAGACCTTAGAATACATCAACGAACTCATACGGGAGAGAAACGGTTTAAATGTATCGAATGTGGAAAGAGCTGCAGTCGTAGTGGTCACCTTAGAATACACCAACGAACTCACACAGGGGAGAAACCATTTAAATGTATTGAATGTGGAAAGAGCTTCAGTCAAAGTGGGACACTTAGAATACATCAACAAATTCACATGGGGGAGAAACTATTTAAATGTATTGAATGTGGAAAGAGCTTCAGTCATAATGGAGCCCTTAGAATACATCAACGTACTCACACGGGGGAGAAACCGTTTCAATGTATTGAATGTGGAAAGAGCTTCAGTCAAAGTGGAAAACTTAGAATACATCAACAAACTCACACGGGGCATAAACCATTTAAATGTCTTGAATGTGGAAAGAGCTTCAGTCAAAGTGGAAACCTTAGAACACACCAACTAACTCACACAGGGGAGAAACCATTTAAATGCATTGAATGTGGAAAGCGCTTCGGTCAAAGTGGAGACCTTAGAAGACATCAACAAACTCACACGCAGAAACCATTTAATTGTATGGAGTGTGGAAAGAGCTTCCGTCAAAGTGGAGGCCTTAGGAAACATCAGCTAACTCACATGGGGGAAACCACAGATGTAGGGAATGTGGAAAGAGCTTAACATGAAGTGGAGACCTTAATATTTATAAGCAAATTCACACAGGTTAAAAACCATATAAACGTATGCAACGTTCCACTCAAGGTTCACTATTTAATTTACATCAAGAAACTCATAAAGGCAGAAATCAATTTTAAATACATGGAACCCATGTGATGTTTTGGTGTTTGTATTTAAATTTGTATACACATATATATGTATTAAAGTAATGAAGGTCACATATACTTGATGTACAAAAGAAGTTGCAAGTTGTTGCTAGATTATCCAGGGGGAGAATGTGAATCTGGAATGCTCAAGGTGTGTGATGAATCTGTTGAGTTTTGACTCCACCCTTCACTGCCAAAATGATGGGCTGCCCTTGTCTTGTGGATCAGCATCTGTCAGGCTTCAGGGAATTGCCTTCCTTCCCCCTTGGTCGTCGATAAGCAGAACAAAGGAAAGGGAGTCTTCTTACCAGTTAGAAACTTTAATGATCCCAGCAAGGGGACAAAGAACCCGTCTTCTAGAAATGGCGGTGCTCCCAATGAAGAGGTCCAGTCCCTCACATCGCTAGTCACCCCTGCCACTTCTGCGTCTCGTAACCTGAGCCTGTACCCGCTGTGCTTTCTGTCCTGCCACTTTCGCTGCTCTCCTTGACCTTGGGGAGAGTGGATGGATGCTTTCCAGAGACAGTGAATCTGTTAGCTCTCCCCCCCTCCAGAGTTTCTTCTGCAAGCTGTTCCCCATCCTGTATTTCCCAGCTTCTGCCTTCTGAACTATGTTCCTCTGCAAATCACTTTTCCAAATCTATACAGTCGTCCTGCTCCTGGGAAGATTCAGGGGAGGGGGAGGTTCCCACAAATGCGCCTCAGTGCAGCTCTCCTTAGCTGGGTCCCTCATGACGGTGGCTAGGTTTTGGTTTAGGTGAGAAAGTGTGGGCCTACCCTGGGGGGGGGGAGCAGAGAGAAGGGAAGAGAAGTAGAGGGGATGCTTTATCCATGCAAGGCTAATTCGTGTTTCTCCCGAGTACGTTCCTGTAATCAGTGAGCGTACATTTAGCAGGAGAGCGTCCCTTTGGCTGGGAGCGTAAGATGCTTCAGGAGACATTAGAGCAAAGCATGTTTATCGCACATGCACCGTGAGAACAGTGGTGGGGAGATGGTAAATAACTCTCAGGGTGCTTAAAAGTAGGCTGTTGTTTCGTGAGAGGGGGTGGGGGGAGGAGAGTTTTAGCGACGCTGAACAGGAAGAGCCAAGCGCACCTACAGGATACATGTGCTTGCTGCTTTGAGTTTGAAGCTGGGCAGTGGAATTGGCACATGCTTCTGCTGAAAGCAGACCTAGGGAAGATTAAGTTAATTGCAACCATAAAAACACTTGGGTCCCATTAGAGAGGCTGCTCATGAGGCCGGAGGAACATCGCCCTGCTGTGAGATGTAAAGTCCACCACTCCCTGCAAGGTCTTTTCCACCTGGCCAAAGGGGTGGGGCCCAGACTCACCCAGCTCTACTATGTTAAATATGAATTCTGTAGTTGACCTTTGTACTGTTTTATTTTGAAATCTTTAAGATAATATTTTTGTTTTCTGTTATGTTGTTTTACTGTATACTCTATATTGTGGCTGGGGGGAGCCAGCTGGGTGGGGTATAAATAATAAATTAGAAGTAGTACTAGTAGTAGTAGTAGTTATTATATTTCACATTTTTCACATTGTTTTATTGATTTAATATGCTGTGAACCGCTTTGAGGTTTTTCTTGAACATATAAAGTGGAATGGAAATTAAATTTAAAAAGTATAGAGCAGGGATATCCAACATGGGGTTGCTCAGATGTTGGGAAACAACTCCCATAAGGCTCAGCCCGTACGGCCAAGATTGATGGGAGTTGTAGTTCAAAAGCTCAAGGGTGGAAAATCTCATGTTTCTTACAACTTTTCATTATGAATAATTATAGGTAAAACTTTTGTTGATACAAAGCTCATTTTTAGCTTCCAGGAGCTTCTGCTTTATAAACAAACCCAAATATATTGAAACACTTTACTTTAAAACCAAATTTTAGAACAGAGGCAAACATAACTTTTTTTAAAAAAAAAATCTTTTCACTTTACAAACCATAATTTTCTCAATCCAAGATTTGCTTTTCATATATATGAAAATACTTTGTTAACAACGAGATACCAAAATGATGATAAAAAATCTGCAATGAAACATTATCAGCATTTAAAATGAAATGCCAGTGGGATGTTCAAAGCATTGAGTTACAAATTAAGGCAAAGATCATCCATTGCTAGGTAGTCCAGGAGACTTACCATATTTTTCGCCCCATAGAGCGCACCTATGGCGGACCACAGCCCCCAGAACAGGCTGCTATCCGCAAGCCTAGGGAGCCGGCGTGACTTCGTGCCGGGCTCCCAAGGGTTACGGAGAGCTGCCCGAAGCCCGGGGTGCGCTGTTCAGGATGCAGACAGCTCTCCACAATCCTAGAATCAACCCCTGGCCCGCTTTTGCCTGTAAGTAGACTTGATTCAAAGATCACATAAATCATCATGATTTTTTCCTCATTGATTCTGATGGGCAGGGCGAGTTAAGTCACTGCATGGAGGTATATATGGGTCTGAGTGGCAGGTGATCCACTGCCAGACTGCCATCTTGACAAGAATCTTTCTCAAGGCCTTGTCTTCAAGAGGACGGGCAATGAATTCTGATTGCTTGCTTGGAACAGAAATGTATTTGGGAGAAAAAGGGAAAACACTCACAGCCCACTCCAGAAATTATCCAGGCTGCTGTGTGGCAGAAATGCATTTTCCCACCTTCCTTTGAAACAGCCTTGCCCTACAACGCTGTGTCACAAGCTGCCCTTGGGAATGGTCCCACATCTCAGAAGGCAGGCAGTGGGGACGAGTGCTGTGTTGCCCTGGGAGGAACACAATGGCACTGGAGGCTGCTGAGCAAAATGGCCCCCAAGGGCTCCATTGTGTTCCCACTTACCTCCTGATTGCTTGCCTTCTCCCTCGAGGGCCACACCCACACCACATCCTGCTTGGCAGGGGGTTGGACTCGATGGCCCTTGTGGTCTCTTCCAACTCTATGATTCTATGATTCTATGAAATCACTCTAGTACCCCTTCAGTCAGTCATGGCTTCCCCCAAAGCATTCTGGGAGCTGTAATTTGCTGAGAGGAGACTCCCTGTTCCCCTCCCAGAGATATAATACGTAGAGTGGCTTCACTATCTATTCCTTGTCACAGAGAACTTGGTGAATTGTAACTCTGATGGAAATAAGGGTTTTAAGGGTTGCCATGGTTAAAGACTTGATTGCCTCTTCTCTTCTCCCCTCACCCCCGGCAATATAGCTTCTATAGTTTCTATAGCCTACATATGGTAGAGATATTTAAAATGAGAGTCCTCATAAGGACTCTTTTTTGCTCTTCAAAATATGGCAACCACACCTAACAGCTCCAAGAAACCTTAACAAACTACAGCTCCCAGAATTCTTTGGGGGAAGCCATGAATGTTTAAAGTGGTATACAGTGGTACCACTTGCCCCCTTGACCCGCGCCCGTCCTGGCTGATTGGAGCATGTCTAGATGAGGTGCGGGTCCCCCTGGATGAGATCATTAATCAGTCCCTTGGTACGTGGACTTTCCCAGGGGAGTTGAAGG